TTTGGAAAACTTCACTTTGAATAGAGTCTAAGAACACAGTTGAAGACTTCTAGTTCTCAGATTTCTGACATGAGTGTTTGAAAATGTATATTTCAAAATTCCTAGACAGTCTCCCCAGCCAAGAACCCATCATTTTTGAATTAGGTATGACATATATAGGCACAGTCATTATGAATTCAAAAGCTGCTATAGTTCTGAGTGGCCAGTTCGAGAGAATTGCAATCTTGAGTCTGACTGACTTGTATTAGAATTTTGGCTCTGCAACTAACTACTAGCTACTAATTAAAAACAAGTCACTTGAATTTTAGAAGTTTAACAGTACTAGATTTTGAGGTCATTCTGAACATTATAGATAAAATCCATCCATGAATTCATATATGATATAAAATCTATGACATGATAACCAACACACCATAGGTACCCAGATAATTATATCTATTCTAACTTCTTGACTTTCTTGTTGACATAAAAAGTTTTTATTTTTTAGTAAAAAAGGGTTAGGTTTTAGTCCTGGTCAACAATATTTTAAGAATTCCATTTAAATATGGCTTTTAAAGTGAAATGTTAATTATGTTCCTACTAATAGCCATAGAATACTGGCAGCAATGAACAGTAATTACATTTTAGGGGGAAATACATTTTTTTTTTTAAATCTAGGACTGAAATAATTAGATTGAAGTTATACTAGTTATAAGACATTACAATAAATACTCTGCTACTAATTGATATTATAAGGAGTTGAAGATACATACAAAGATACCAAGGTAAGTAGATCACCTTTGGAATCAGTTAGAGATAGATGCATTTGACCTTACTTCTGCAACTACAGGGCTCTAATGTATTTGGATCACTGATGATTTCCCATATTGTGTAATTGCTTCAGGTTAGTTATGCCATAAAATAGGAAATTAAATACTAAAATACAGTTTTGTATTATCTGTAGGTTAGCCCAATGATAAAATGGATTTTTATGCAAAATTATAAATGTGGACATTTGGATTCAAACTATGACTTAGTCAGAGACACACTGTCTATCAGTAGGAAAGCAGTGTGAATGAGGTGGGCCCATGCAAGCATGAGCAGTGGAATCAGAAGAGCTCACTTCCAACTTAAGCTCTATTACTTATATATAATACAACTGTGTATACACACACACACACACACACACACATAGTAAAATAATGTAATGTATACAGTAAATGATATAATTGATGAGATAGCTATATACAGTTAATTTGTAGAAGTCAAATATAAAAGAGATTCCACTCATATGTGGAATTTAAAGAATAAACAAATAAGAAGTAGAATCTGGGGCACCTGGGTGGCTCAGTAGGTTAAAGCATCTGCCTTCGGCTCGGGTCATGGTCTCAAGGTCCTGGGATCGAGCCCCACATCGGGCTCTCTGCTCAGTGGGGAACCTGCTTCCTCTTCTCTCTCTGCCTGCCTCTCTGACTACTTGTGATCTCTATCAGATAAATAAATAAAATCTTTAAAAAAAAAGAAGAAGAAGTAGAATCAGACCTATAAACACAGAGAACAAACTGGTGGTTTCCATAGGGAAGGGGGGTTAAGAGGATGGACAAAATGGGTGAAGGGGAGTGGGAGATACAAGTTTCCAGTTATGGGATAAATAAGTCATGGGAATAAAGGACACAGCAAAGGGAATATGGTCAGTGATATTTTAATAGCATTATATGGGGAGAGATAGAGGCTACACTTGTGGGGAGCTCAGCATAACTTACAGGGAAATTGAATCAGTTGCATAAGATTTATGTTGTATACTTAAAACTAGTACAACACTGTATGTCAACTACACTCAAATTAAAAAATTAAAACAAAAATAAAGTTTTCAGCTGAGGAATTGACACTCAGAGAAGATGAGGTTAAGTGACAGAGCTGTGACCCAAACCCAGATTTCCTTGCTTTTCTCATCTTTTGGCTTATCCATTTCTTTTTTCCTACTTTAGTAAAACTAATGAGAAACTTTGGATTCTATAAGATTAAACAAATGATATATTATTTTATTTATGTATAAGTATTAGTTTCCATTTAGTTTTTGACAATATTTACTTAAACCAGAAAAATAAATCCTATCACCTCTCTTCCTCAGGAATTACTGATGTCTCTTAAGGACAGCTTAAACATGGAGGGGTTGCCAACAGTAACTGAACTGTTCAAAAATTTAATTGTGTTTCCATACCTCTTGCTCTATAATTCAACAATTGTAAGCATTCTTGTAGTTGGAACTCTCTTGAATTTATTCTACATTTTCCCCAGCATAAATAAAATGACTGTGATTTGGAAATGTGTCATGAAATATCACTATTTTCACAGAATTCAATAAGCACACTCATGCCGACACACAATTCCCCATTCTTTAGTTTATATCCCCTGCCATTGCTCAGCGGAAGTAGTATAAAGGTTTTGCTCTAGGAAAAAAAGATAAAGATAATATGAATCACTGTGGCAACTTCCAGCTTTCCTTTATTATCTGCCAGGCCACTCCGCAAAGTAAACATGAAGAGGGCCCAGCACCACTGAGAGAACAGCAGCAGAAAAGTCCAAACTAAAAACCTTCCACTGAAGTCTTTTAAGTCATCACTACCGGTGGAACCTGAAACAACCATGTTAAATTTTCTAAATTGTGCATAAAGTCTCTTAACATTTAAATCCTCTTGAAAAATCGGGCTCTGTGTTATTAAAGCTTCCTTTATGCAAGAAGCCCCAGTTAGAAGTTCTGTGGTTACTATTCCTGTTGCCAGCATTCCTTTTCCAAGCTTAAGATATAGGATGATCATTTACACCCTTAAATATCTGCTGAGTAGGGCTTAGTCTAAGATAAAACGCTGTTCGTGGTTGTAATCTAGATTAAAGCTCTCTATATAGCCCCATAAACTTCAATTAAATGCTTCTAACCTTTTGCATAAGACTTAAAATTGAAAGACTTTGGTTTCTAGGTCAGCTCTAGATTTAGGGTATATTTGTGAGCATAGAGCTATAAAAAGGCAGGTTTTAGTCTAATTCAAGTGCTTTTACTTTTGTACTGTAAAAATAGCATAGGAATGAAATGTACATCATTTCCATCTATCATAATAAGGGACATAAGGGACAAGGAGGTATATTCTTTGTCCTTTGACATACTTTACTGTTAAGACGGTGGAAAATAGCAGGTTAAGGAAAATAATGATAAAGTGGGCAAAAGTACAGGCATGTAGTAATACTGAATGACCTAATTCCAAATGGAAACAATGCTACAATATAGCTAAGGCAGACTGACAAGTTCTCCAGCCAAGATCATGCCAAATAGGTTCTCAATTTACATTCATTTAATTTTTATAGTTTACCTATTTCACTAATGGAAAAAAGATGTCTCTCTTCCACTTGTGACTTGGTTTAGTTTCTTATTAACTATGGAGTTGATTTAAGAGACTTGAGACAAAAATTGCTGGTTTTGTTTTTTACGTTTTAAAGTGGGATGTAAAGATAAAATGTAAATGCTATATGCTAATCCTCCACATATACCAATTACAGTTCTCAAACAGGACTTGAAGCAATTACCTGTGTGACACCATCCTACTTGAAGAACCAGCATTGATGAAATTTTGATAAACCTGATCAATTTTTTCCCATATGGAAAAAGGTTAACTCTTGAACTCCTAGTGTCTTCAGTAGCCTCAAAAAGGAACTATAACATTTTCCAAATGTAAAATTGATTGTGAGAACATTACAAAATATATCTATGCCATATAATACCATTTTGAAGAAAGGGGAGGGTACAGGTATGACCTTGCTCAAATGCTGAAAGATAGTTCCTCCCCCAAAACTGGAAATAAATGTATTGGTTGCCTTAAGTGATTCCTGGGGAGGTCTTTAAGCAGTGTCTCACTTTCACATTAATTTTGGGTACTAAACGAAGAAGGTAGGACTTGTAGGGCCTGGTCAGAGTTATGAGAAAAAGTTACGTAGGCATCATAGATTTGGGAAGCAGAAAAAGTGAAAGATACTTGAACAACTGAAGATGATGTTTGAACTTCCAGGTTCTAAGAAGGACTAGGTCTGAAACTGGTATTATTTAATGTTTAATAAAACATCTGGAAGAGGGTAAGTGGTGAACTTTTAAGTATGAATTCAGGCCACAGAGCTTTTCTAAAGGATGCCAATGAGAATGATGTGGTATGTGGTAGGTGGTGGTCCAGGTTAGCTATTATGACAGAAGAAAGGATTTAAGTGACATGGTAAGCTCTTTTCTAAGGACAGAAATGTGCTACCATTGCCAAAAGAAACTAACAAAATGCTGAGTGTTGAACATGAGCCCCTAATTGATTTTAATATGCCATGTGAAGGGATTTATTGCTGGAAGGGGATGAATGGAAAATACTCTCCTTATGAACCCTTAGAAGCAGCTAGGTGTATTAGAAATGTAATCCTCAGCTTTTAGGAGCAGCCATTCCCTCTGGAATGCACACCTTGCTACAATTGTGAGAGACAGATTACCAAGCAGTCTACAAATTAGCTGTACCAGACATTTCGAATATGCTTAATTTTAATTAATCACCACACCATCAACTCCTAACCTTTAGACTGTCCCTGCTGGCTATCCAGGTTTATTTATAAACAGGTCCCCTTACCCTCATTTTAAAATAACAGTCAATGATTATATTCTGATAATCACCGGTTTATTTATAACCATCAGCAACCATCAGTAAAATGGACAACCTTGATTTTCTTCCCCTCCATAAGCATCAACTACATTATGAAATCTTTCACCTAGAGCCAAGCCAAGAATGTAATGAGAGACGCTTCTGTATAATATAGTATTGGGGATTTTGTGTGCCCATTTATAGTATATTTATATGAGAAAGAAAATGTGAGAATAAATGATACCTGAATCTTAATTAACTATTTCTATAGATAGCAAAAAACCTAGCTAGAACTGTATTTTCATGCAAACCCTTAAACTCATGAAAATAAAAGTATAAACAATGTCTGAATTTCCTTACCTTCTATTGCTGATAGGAGAACCCGGGAATGATCATATGCGATTACATTTGCATATCTATTCTTTGGTTTGTTTACTTCCAAGTTTGAATGTTCCCATGTGAACTGCTGGCCAGGGTCAATTGACTTTAAAAGAAAAACAGCACACACATACAAAATCAATACTTGATAACACCGATTATAGGCATTTATCACAAGTAAGTAACATGATTTAAAAAGAAAAGTCTGAAGCCACACTTCATCAAAGATGACCCTAGCTATGAAGCTGAACACTACTATAACCAGCAAAACATGAAATGATTAATCATAGTAAAAAACAGTGATAGTCACCAACATTGATTCAAATGAAAAAAAAAATCAATATAGATGTTCCGTGAATATTGGAAAGGCAGGGTTTTTAAAATTGTTTTACTTTTCCATTTCCTTCTCTGCAGCTGTAGTTTACAAGCTTTCTAGTTCAATATTCCTTCTGGTTCTGTGAACATTATTTTATCTTGATTATTCTCCCTACTCTTTCCTGTCAGGACCTAACCTCAGTCTTCAAATTTACTGGTCATTCACTGGCTTCACTGGGCACAGGCTTTGCTATTCTTTCTTCATTTATAGTTTACAACTTGAGGGCAACTTAAAATTGTGCCTGTTTCTCCAAAACACACTATGACCAGTATCACAAGGTAATTTGTACAATTCAAATAGTTAAGAAAAATGGTAAAGAAGGGAAGTTGGTTACATCTAATAATCATCTTCAAATATCAATTTATGAACCAGTGCAGATAGGATCTACTTGTTTTTCTATTTATTTCCTATTTATTGTTATATGTTACGTTTACAAAATTTCTTTCTTTTTACTCTCTATTTTAAACTTATATTTCCTGATTTTTTTAAAGATTTTATTTATTTAATTTTTCCTGATTTTTAATGACTTTTCTTGATACCTTCATTCAAACTATTATTCAATAACCTAAAATAAATATTGCAGAGATACAAAATAATATATGCAATTTTATAGGTAAAGCAGAACCATTATTTTGAGACTGAATTCCGGATTTGATTACAAAACTCTGAGGGGTTTCTTAATTTCCTGCAATTTTATGGAAATCAAAATATCTTTTCTTTGATCATAGAACACTGACACTTTTTAAAGACATAATTTCATGGTATATGGAAACATGAGTTCAGTAATTACATAAACATGATTTGAAATGATTAAAGTCAAGTTTTCAGAAATAATGATAAATTGGGTTTATATACAAGTAAAATTCTTTAAAAAAAGTAAAGACATTATGTTACATTAATAGAATTTTCAGCAGTAGTTTTTGATCCTAGGCATTTACCATGCTTGAATGTGTATACATAGAACTGGAAAGTAAAACATACCCAACAGCTGTTACAATATTAAAGACGTGTATATTTTGTGTTTAATAGGGATAGTAAAACTCACAAGTGTAAACAGTCAACCTATTAACCTCCATGAATAGCCTCCAAACATACTAAAATTCTCAGCAGGATAGACTGTAGTCTCTAATTTACTATGGTAAGCTATATATAAGTAGTCATCATTGAATAATATTCAGCAAAATAATTATCCATGCTTCAGAGTCTAAAGAATAATAAAATTAGGGGTCTTTCTAGTTTGTTCTTCCAGGAAAGCTCATCGTCTCCCTTGTGGAGTGGACTTCTTTCCAAGTGTCTGGTGATCTGAAACATGCAGGTGACTGGGTGGAAGCCTTAAGTCAACCTTGAACCTTCTCCATACAAAGCAGCTTTATTTAGTGAGCCAGCCTTACCTTAAAATTTTCTTAAATCAGACCCAAATCTACCAGCTTACTGCCACTCCCTCAATCCAATCCTTCAGTTATCTGATGTCTGCTTGAACTCTCCATTTGAACTCTCACTCTAATGCACTCTTCATACCAAAGTAACAGTCCTGAAACTCAGCTCTGGACAAGTTAGGTTCCTGCTTAAGAACTTCCACTGGCTCGAAGTGACCTACAGCTTAGATTCTAAAGTCCTTAGCCACAGTCCTACCTATATGCCTTTAGTCATCTTTGCATCTACAAAGAAGGCTCAATAAATTATGGTTCAACAGATTTTCTTAAATGAATTGAAATGATGAATAAATATTGTCGAGAAGAGTTCATAAAGAGAAATTGTGGAGTAATTCTTCCATGTAACATGGGAGTTAAACAACAGACTGTGGAAACTGCAAGGTATAGTGCACTAAAACTAATGCTTTAGCACTCAATATCATATGGTTTAATAGTAAAGTATGTGATCCTGAAATTACAACTACCAGTGATAGTCCACCTTACACCGAGGAGCACTGCTGAGTACATAAGCTTCTTAAACATTCTTCTGTAAAGTATCCCAAGAGCTCCTAGGCTCACTGATGTACAGCACTTTGGTGGAAGATATTCCTTCCTTTGATGACCTTGTTCTTCAGATTAAGATCACTCATGGATGTGTAAAGTGGCATGCATTTAATTAGACTAATGAAATTGCATCTCTTAACACAGACACTGTTAACTCATGTCCATTTCCACTCTCGCCACATATCCCCAGCCTTCTGAATGCTTGATTTGATACTTTCATTGAAGAGTTTAAAAACCAGCCATGGAAACCTGAGTTTTATGTCACATGTGTTAATATGTTTAGGCTTAAAGGATGACCCATGAGAAGACCTCTGAGTAACAGGATAATTATAGTAGCTGCTGGGTCATGCAGTATCCTCTTTAATTTTCACAAATGTTATGAGGTATGTTTTGTTATTTTCCAAGACAAGGAAATTGAAGTAAAGAAAGATTAACTCAATAAATCTTACTGCGGGTCTTCTCTCTGGCAGGCATTGTGTGATTTGGTGGTTAAGTAATTTGCTCACACAGCTAGACTCATACATTCACCCTAAAACCCAGGTCTGTGTGATTTCAAAGCCCAGCTGATGATTAACAGCTGGTAATTACCAAGGCATGATGCTACCTATCCTGAAGGCCACTGAAAAAACGAGGAAGCCCAACATGTGAAACACACTTAAACATAACTATCCTTTATCTTGCAAGTCCAAAATGTTTTTCTTCTCAACTGATCATCCTCTGTCATTCTGGGGCAATTACATAAGAAATCAAGTTTTAAAAATGAGATTGACTTCACATGAATGATGAAACAGATGGGTTGCAGTTTACATTTATACTTGTTTTACACAGATCAAACAAACATTGATTAAATAATGCTTAACTGTCTTTGTGCAACACATACTCATCTATCTGTATCTACCTGTCTGACCAAACGTTTAACAATACACAGCATAGGTCATTATTTTGGAACTTATCAGAAAGTCGAGAGCAGTAAACTCAGTAAGGAATAACAACTACTGAAAGTAGGTGAGGTATAAGATGACCTTTTCTACTGTGAAAAAATAAAACTGGTTGAGGAAAATCAAATTTCAATTGTCCATGTTAATGAGGCAAAGGTATCATGGATGAATAAGAGCTTAATTCTCAAAACACACTTTAAAAAAAAAAGATTTATTCATTTATTTATGTGTGTGTGAGAGAGAGATAGAGAGAGAGAGAAAGAGAGCATGCATTAGCAGGAGGGGCAGGGAGAGAGAACCTCAAGCAGATGCCCTGCTGAGCACGGAGCCCAATGAGGGACTCGATCTCACAATCATGAGATTATGACCTAAGCCTAAACCAAGACTCAGATGCTTAACCAATGTCTTCTGTGTTTTTATGTTTTGTTGTTGTTGTTGGTTTTTTTGTTTTGTTTTGTTTTGTTTTGTTTTTTGGTGCAGGTGCTGGTGCAGTTGTTTTGCCTCTTTGTGTTCTGTTATCTCTTGCTGAGATCCTCTTAAGGAAGAATAAAATGGTCAACATAGAGAAAGAAGAATGCAGGTTTGGAGAAGTTGAGTTCCACTCTAATCTCATATTTTTGGCCAACCCAACATGACCATACATCTTCCTACTATCAAGTTGAGCTGATACCACCCAAACACTATTCAAAACAATTTGAAATAAGCACCTTTGTTCCTAGTAGATTCAATTTCTTCCTACTGTTGGCATTTGGTTTTCCTAAGCCTGACTCTCCAGATATCTCTTCTCATCCTTTCAACTGTATATATCCAAACAACATTTGGTAAGATATCCCCTTCCTTCCCAGAACTCAATCCCAAATTCTACCCTCACAAGCTAGAATCCTGTTCAGGATTTCTGTAGCTGCCCTGGAGGAAAGTTTGCAAGTTAGAAATAAAGCAAGCTAGATGTATTCAACCCAAATTTGATTGTAGACGTTTTAAAAATAAAATAAGCTATATGGTATTTGTACATTGCATTGTCACATAATTCATAAACAAGAATACTACTTCCTTATTTTTTTCTGTTTCAACAAGGTCCTTGAATGTACTGGATAAAGAGTACGTAGCACCTAAACGTTCCAGAAATATCAAACCATGTTACTTTGTTTTCCTATCTGCACAGGTGGCACATGACACACTCCCCCTCCAATCTTAATACCTGCCACTTAATCATTCTAATTTTAACAGATCTTCAACTCAATGGCTTTGCCTTACTGAGAATGTGACCACAGAAAAAACTCCCTGTAATATAAAGAAGAAAAGGAAAATATTGAGTAGTCAGCTGCTAATATTAAATATTTTGCATTTATGTGTCTTTAACTTGATGGTCTGAAAATTCCAATTTTTTAACCATCTAGAACTTATCTTAAAATAGGTAAGTGGAAAAAATAGGTAAATGAAAAAAATAAGCCATATATATATATATATATATATATATATATATATATATATATATAAAATGTACTTATAATTCTGTACCATATTCTTGATAAAGTGCCAGATTTAAAATATATATTTAGGGGATGCCTGGGTGGTTCAGTCAGTTGAGCAGCTGCCTTTGGCTCAGGTCATGATCCCAGCATCCTGGGATCGTGTCCCACATCAGGCTCCTTGCTCCGCAGGGAGCCTGCTTCTCCTTCTGCCTCTGCCTGCCACTCTGCCTGCCTGTATTCTCTCTATCTCTCTGACAAAGAAATAAATAAAATCTTTAAAAAATAAATAAAATAAAATAAAATATATATTTATATCCAATAGTTACAATAACACATATCACATC